TGATACCATTATAATGTCATTTTGAGCCAACTTCCCTGAAAAAGTTCATTTTCAGTGTTCACAACAAATTGGAATATCACCTAGGAAACAAGCAAAGGATCCTGGGAGAGGTTTAGAGGAATACACCTGGGAATGAAATGTAACAGTTACCATGGATATAAGTGTCAAACAAACAGAGGGAGTGATATCAGAAGAAAACAACAATATATGAGACTGAAACAGGAAAGCCTCATGAGGATTAACTGACAAATAAAAAACATATACATCTTATATATTTCAAGAAAGACAGTGCCTTGATTGTTATTTTCATGCCAGGGAGCAATGTTATGGTACACATGTCAGTATAGTATTAACAGCACAACTAGAAACCTTATGGCTTGGAAAATGAAGAAACAAGAATTTGAAATTTTGCACCTCATCATTCAGGTCTTATGTCCAAGAGAGGTCAACTTTTATCAATCAAGATACGGTTGCTATGGTAACCTGAATTTCAACCTGATGAACTACAGGTTAATGAGAGACCCAGCCTGCAACAACAATAAATTAAGAAAATCTGGGATTTAGATTTCAAATTATCAAAACATAGTAAAACCTGCAAGATTGAACATATTTTTAGAAAGAAAGTACTTGTGTTGAAAGTCTGACATGTATTATTTGAAACTGAAAAGGTGTTCAAAAATATTGTTTAACTGTACTCAGCTCATAAGTTACAGCACATTATCAAACCATTATTAAACCTCAAAAAGAAAACAACCTATCATACAATTCTCTACTTATATATAAAACTTACATATGGGTGAAATCGTTGAATTAAATCGTATTCAAATTCTTATTTTGTGAAAATATTTGGGGTTATAAGCCAAAGAGAAAGGTAAGAGTGATTGCCTCTATGAGCACCCTGACGCAAAACTTCCAGAGATCATTTCAAAATCGCACAATTTCTCTCAAAAATTTGACTGAACACCCTGATTTTTTAACATTTCTATACAATTTAGAATATTAACTACATCACCATATAATTCCTTCTTGGAAAAATCCATGCTTTCCCCATAATTTTGGATTTCAAACCATGACCCATTGTACCATTATTGGGGGACTGGTATAAAACTAGAGGCCTAATCCACGTGTCAATATTTCTTTAGCAGAATTGGTTACCCTGCTATATAAGTCTACCACTGACATAGGATATCAGACTTACACTATATCATTTCTAAAATAACACTAAAACAGTCAAACAAAATCCCAAATAGAAATCTACATTAATGACCCTAAAATTGAAATAGAATCCAAACCTTTCCTATAAACATCATGTGATTGCAATTTTCACGAAAGGGAAAATTCATAAAAAAGTATCCCAAGTTTATTCATCTCTAAATGAACCATAGAATTCTTTAGAAACCTACTTCGAATATACTTCAGTGTTCAATAAACAAAATCCCTTTTTATGTGTTTTCAATGTAGACCATATGAATCAATATAGAAAGCATTCAAAAAATCGTGTGAACCTTTTTATCTTATATATTCTATATTTTCAAATATGTCATTTGGTACATATTGAATCTATTTTGCTGTGCATTGACTTGAGCCCTTGTGACCTTCTCTGCCTACTGAAGGCTCAATGAAAGGTTATATTTGGTCCAAAATGGAGCTCTGGCATATATAAACTGATGTATCTATATTATAGCCCATGGGGTTCTAAATAGAAACCATCAAAATGACTTTTCCTGGTGTAATCCTTCAAATATATCACTTTCTTTAAAATGACTTAACACAAGTCAAGTTGGTATTTTCAACATCATTACATCCAAGGTTGATTTAGAAATCTCTGAAGATTGGTTGTGAAGAAAATGTCCCCAATTTAGATCATACTTCGATAATAGACCACGCTGACCTTTAGGTGATGTATGACCACTGCCATGACTGCAGGAATTGCGATCTTTAGATTTAAGATATCAGGCTGAGGAGGAGGGAATGACGTTAAAGCGCGTAAATTGTTCTTCTTACTGAATAGGGAACATTTGTCCAATATTCGCAAACAGGATTAGAGATTATCAAATTCCCCTAACATGCTCTCTCACTGATTGCTCCTTCTTACTACAGCATATTATATGTACAGAATACAACTCTGTCTTATACGACCCACTTATTATCATTCATATCAAACAATATAACATTGAAGAATCTGAAGACAATTTGAAGAAAACACAACTATCAGAATGGAGCATAAGTTATATGTTAACCACAAAGGAGAATACCGTATACATAAACCTCTAAGAATGGGTAAACATGTTGCCCCATTATTTACACATCCCCTCCGTAGTTATAACTTCCCGCCTTTTATTCTATATTCTACGCACAATATTTATCAATGGTGGCAATAATGACATACTGCACCTCGATCGAAAATCTCTTTGATCTAATAGACCTTGAGGTACTTTTGGACGTCAAAATGCTAGTGGTTTTTGTATTGAAGATACACACGTTGGTTCAATACACTCAGGGGAGTGTGAATATTTATTCAGGTTTCATGTGAAGGCAATCCAAGACAACAGTACATAAATACATACAAGGAACAACCTTGCTCTTCCAAATTTACCAAAAGACCAACCGAAATAACCTAAAATTCTCTAAAATATTTGAAAGAAGTGCCAGACTTTTTGGCACTTTTGTACCATTTTGGGTATCTACTTCATACCAGAGTATACTAATCCTTGGTAATTTCTCCCAGTTCTGAGAAATCTTGAGATAAAAATCATGACCATTTTGATAATTCAGAAGTTTTACAGGGGTCGATTTCAAATACACAGAATTTGTAATCAAGAATACAGAGGTATGTACATATGTACCTCAGAGTGTGATCAAAGACTCAAACACTGAAAATCCCTAAAATAACATAAACCAGATATTCCTATTATGTCTGTAGACTTATAAACTGATTAAAGGGAATAGAGAACTTACAACCAATGTAAATATGATAGCTAAACACGAATACATGTGTACGTCAACCAAACCTAATTAGCTGTCAAATGTCTTATAAACGACCTTAACTTGATTGAACATATAAAATGCAAAATATAACCCAATATGAATGCCACGTACACGCCTCGACTTCAACAAACAACGTGAAATTCTAAAACGCTACTGGATCGTCTGGTAGCTTCTGACAGATTAAAACAGTAGTGAAAACATTATAGAAGACACAAGCAAACAGACAAACAGTTACAAATATTTGCTTCGCTTCAATTTACAATTTTACATTGAAGTCAATACCATACAACATTCTATAATTACACTCTACCGTTTTATATATGAACCTGTATTCCATAGTATCAGAGCACTGAATACAAAAAGGTTTTCATGATTTCTTCAAGTCATATGTCAAAATACATAATAGATTTTGACAGCTTTTTAAAAAATCTTTTGAAGATTTCTGGCATTGATTTAGTATGCTATGACAGAATACAGAAAAACCTGTCTGCGTATAATCTCTATAAAATAGATATATAACACACGACTACTCATCTTCAAGTGAACACTTTTAGTAAAAGTGAACACTTTACTGCTCATCAAAAGTGTTCACTATATTCAAGATGATATTCATAATAGTGTTTGGAGTCTCTCAAAATTTATCACTTTATAAATAAGTCAATATTAACTTTTTAATTTTGTTTGATAGACTCAGACTTTGATAGTATGAGTATATGAGAGAATGATAAAGTATCTTAATCTACTGTCCAGTTCAAAACAAACATAAATGGGACTTTATAAAAACACTAGTGGTTCAGATAACCAAACCTTATAAAATGCTTATAAAATAGTTTACAGGGCTGGTCAAACTCCATCAAAGAAAGTAAAAAATAAATATGCCAGAATCTAGCTATTTGTCCTGACCATGTATGCCCCCCCCCCCCATCTAATATTCTGCAAACCCCTATACCTTACTAACCCCTCAGTGCGAAAAAACACATGGAGCTCAAAGAACAGCTGTAAATAATCTTAAATATGTACATTTTGAATGTCTGCATGAGATTAGACATAACATGTACTTTTTAGATTATAGTTCAAAATCAATTGAAGATTGGATTCAAGATAAGACATGTGCATGATTGCAAAGAGATATTGAATTTTGTAGTACACTCAACATATACTTTTCATGAATAACTATAAAATGAAAATCATCAATATTTTTTCTATAGTCTCAAAACCATTTATAACCCCCTCCCCTGACATATTATTATTATTATTATGAGCTTTATTATACTTGTATCCCACATTTGGGCAAAGTGTACAGCTTAAACAGAAAAAAAATGAAAAAGCTTAACTAATTATCTATATAGTATATTAACTAATCAAAGGGTGCTTGATCATTGCAAGATTTTATTGGATGCATATACATATTGACATATACAATGTACACCAAATGCATATGAGGACACCACAGATTTGATGAACTATATTTTGACTGAAAATTTAAAATTGATATCTGATGATTATTTGGAGTATTTAGGCACATAGCTCCTCTAAACTTCTAGACACTCAATTATAAATAACTATATTGGGTGTGTTACCATGTGTACATAGCATGATGATCTCAAAAAGTTGGAAAAATTCATATCAATAATGTCAAAATAAATATATGCCATCTACTTGACCTCTTGCTGGATGTGAAAATGACATTCCAATTTTGTTTAATAACTTATCAGCACACGTGAATGCCTGAACCTTTCTGACCCTCTTGTATATAAAACATGACAAAGAGACTTGAAATCGGCTATATTGCTCTTACACGGTTATCTCTAGTAAATAAAAACACTTAAAGTTTGTAAAATATAACCCTTGTTTAGTTAACCACAACACCAATAGCCCATTCTAGACCTCGTTATTGCAGCTATAATGTTCAACTTTGATTTATGAAACACATGATTTAATATGTGGTGATGATGATAGTATTGCTATGGCAACAGGCTTATGGTTGCCTTGGTAACAAAAAAGGTACTGACCTTTCCAAACTGGCCGAAGTATGCTTTGACATCTTCAATGGTGGTTGAGGCAGAGAGTCCTCCAATAAATATCTTCTTGGTTCTCGTTACCTAGAAACAGAAAATCATTTGATTACTATAGCAACGAAATAATAATAGAAAAATAATATTCAATAATATAATATAAATATCTTTGTTATACAATTATATAATGTTAGTTTCATATATTGAACATATGAATGTGCATGGAGATTTGTGAATTAAAACAGACTTCAAGAAATGTTCTGATATCAGTTTCTACGGTAACCACAGTATTTATTGAGCATTATAGCAAAACAGAATTTCTGTTAAGACAGGTAATGTATGGAAAATAGAGACTGATGCATATCATTACAGAACAACAATTCATCATCTCTATTTAATGAAACTATCTTCCTTGTCCAGCTGTTACCATGACAACAGTAGATACTAGTATCTTTATTCTAATGTCTGTAGCTGCACAGATAGACATGCAACTCTAATGGCTCATGGATGTGTGAATATATTTGATAACAATCCCGTAATCTAGGCAACCCTTTTAATAGCAAAATCAACCAATCACATCAGTTTCCAATAAATCAGGAATAATATCCCTAACATAGACCTTGACAAGCCGCCACATCACAAATGCAAATTCTTTATTCCATCAAAAGACATCAACCAAACAAAAGATAAAATGCTGATATAGAACTTCTATATAAATTCTACGATACTACATTCTTCAGCATTGATAGAAGAAACGCAGATCAATAGAACATTATAATCTATCCGAACACAAAACACATAGTAGGAACTCCAGAATCTATCGCAACAATGAAGTAACTAGCAACGATTAACCCGTAATTATTATACCATATAGATTTTTTATACAGCATCTCAAGACGCTATTAGATCTTGTACTCGTTACACCAAGGGTTGGAACTTATTTGAAAATAACATCATACAGAAATCTCTCGTTGTGAGAGACCACTACATTCTATCAGTTTCCTTTCTCAAAGGATATTGCTATTTGTAAAACAAAGAGTCTGATGAGTTTAAGGATAGGTCTATATCTCCATAAAGTCGCTGGTCACCCCCCCCCCCCCCCACCCCTACTATATTTCGACCCCAACCTGACTCATTTTGTGATAGAGAGAAAGGGAGATATAGCAGATTGACATAAGCTTGACATCTCCATTATTCTACCCAACATCCGTCTGCTTACTTCCCATAATGCAACACTGCACTTCTCTGAGAAGGGAGAAACAGAAGACTGACACAAGGCTTTCTCTCCACATGTTGAAAATGAATCAACAATTTTGCTACCGGTTTAAGTTAGGAAGGCATTTTCATGTTCATTTTAGAGAGAAAATAAGTACAGTACAGCGCAGTAAGGGTAATTAGGCCAATTGATATAAAATAACTCGACACACGACTGTAGCGAATTAATTGTTACTTCGGTTACCTTGGATATTTAGAAATCACCATATAGAATGAATTAATTTCTTCATTTTTCATTTGTTAATAGCTCGATATAGGCTAATATTCTTACATTGGTGAAAAATAGATGATATTAATAGGCAATTTAGAGGTTAGAGATGCTTCATCATCACCCATAATGCAACACATTCCCGTAGTACTGACGGCAAATCTGCGTTAACTACTTCAAGACGTGTACTTACTAAGATTGAGAAGTATCACGCCTTTTTGAGTGCCATCTCAAATCTTCATCTCACTCAGTGTAAGAATATGATCTTTCTAATGCTTCATCATCAACTAAGCTATCAGAATAAGATATAGTATTTTCAAGTTAATTTTCAACTTAATATTCTCATAATTCAGACTTAACTAATAGACCCATTATTTTCCCATTCTATTTTACTCAAAAAAAACATATTAATTGATGCACCCATACTATCTATTATTTTACCCAAAAGCTGTGCTTACTCAAAATCTGTGCTTATTTCCCATAATGCAACGTTGTACTTCTGCTTCATTGTTTTCATAATTTGATTTTGAAATATATTCAAATTGAAAAGGTAGATCTGATGCTTATTTCCCAGAATGCATTTGTACTTACCGGGGCCCTTTTGGGATATTTTGGCTGATCATAGACGAGAGGCAACTGCGGTAGTCCATGTATAGGTATCTGATGTGCCATTTTGAAAGAAATTCGCTAAATATCCACTAACTAATGAAATGAATGCTATATCCTCTAATATAACTTGATGTACTACTGTGATAGGATTTCTTACACTAACTAAGACAATGAATGACTTCCTTTATGGTGAATAGCTTCCCCTTTTGACAAAATGATATCCTCAAGCCTTTGCTTACTTCACTTCAATATAAACTGCTGTGTATACACTATCTCGATGATTCACTTATGTGGTTAAAACTTTTTGAGGTTACAAATCTGACATCCAAATTGTTTAAAACAAAAGAAATTCTTAGTTTGATTCCCTTGGTAGCTGAACAAACGTAGTTAGTGATAGATTTTGTCTTAGAGGTGTGGAATTTGATCTAAACGCCCTGTTTTCAAGCCAGAATGCCCTATTCGTCTGTTGTCACTATCTTGTCTTATCTCCACAGTAGTTCTGGCCAATCTCACTAAGATCCTCAACCAGTTTTATATAAATCGTCTTTTCTGTTTTTTCTCACTCGATTTTATGTGCTCAACTGTCGAAATCTGGTGTTCACCTAGACTATGCGGGTCATATGTGACTAAAATGAAATCACTGGGAGTGAAATTGAAACCATAGTAATTAAATCCGAGTCTACATCACAATGAATTAATCACATTCTTATCACAGCCCACTATAGCATTTAAGATACTCTATCACTAGTTCAAATTGGCTCTTAAAAAAATTTTGGACAAACAACCTCCCCCCCTCCCACCTCCTTTAGATCCATGAACCCGTATTAAGCCCTATAAACCGTACAAATCACATCGACTTTAATTAAAATCAAAATATCAAGCACACCTGCTAAAGATAAACAAACATGATTTATCCTGAAAACACAGTTTATAACATTGTTTTTGTACTGGCTTTATGGCCTGATCAAACGGGGAAAGTTTGTAGATATTGGAGTGTATTGGCGCACTTACGAGTGATTGGGACTTGATAAAGGCCCTTTTAGCTCTGTGATTTATAACGCTGCTCTTGAGGTAATAGCAGTAGATAAGCCCACAATCTGCTATGGCCCATACACCAACCTGCTACCAAATTTCATGGGGTCAGTCATGGATCTTCGGGTCATGTGTTACTATAGCAACAATTTTCATGTGTCACTTTTAACGTAATTTAAGTCAGCCATAAAAAAACATTAATTCACATTATGTAATGTTTGCACAAAAAGAGTGTGTTTATCTTAACATAATTTGTTTACTTTGGGGTTGAAAGTATTTAGAGCTTTTCCTTTAGTTATTATTTCAAAAGTAAAACATTAATGTTAAAATGACCTCAGAATTTTTTCTAGTGTAGTACTTTAAATCACTATGGCAACTGAAAAAGTATATATACATAAATCATACACTACCCTGATTTATCAAGGCATGATAAATCAAAGTGGTTACCATAGCAACCTCTCATAAATTGGAAACTCTTTAATTCAGGAAGCCGAAAGCCATTAATTTTACTGGGTGCTTTTATTTTGACATTTGTAAAACTGTTATAAATATAAATAATTTATAACAAATAATAGTCTTCAGAGATCCTAGTGTTTGAGTCATTTTTATAAATGCATCGTCCAAAGGTAGTTGTCCCACCCGAGTATTTTGAAAGGCCACTCAAAACTAATTTACAACTCTCTGATGTTTGATTATCTATGCTGATGAAAATATATAGATAACAATTGAAGAGTTGCTTTGATTTAATTATTTCAAGCTTTCTATATACAGTTTTAGGATGTATGCTAGACCTTTTTGGCATAAAAGGAACACAGAATAAAGAAAATATTATATATGGATCTTTGAGTTAGAGGTTTGTTATGATTGGTACCACCCAAGTCTTCATAATCATATTTTTAAACATCAAATAAAAGCTGGTCTTATTAAAATTAGAAGGATGTGAGTTTGGGGTAAAAAATAGATAACATGGGTACAGCAATGATTTAGAGGCTTAAATAGAACTTTTTGGGAGTCTTCAAAAACACCTACAGGGTCCATCAATATTTTTATGACTTTCTGAGTTGAGCTTTGGTGTATAATACTACATATTTATTTCGGGTAGTGTTGAATTGCATCTGGTCTCTACCCCAACCCCACTCCACCCCACCCCCATCTACTTCACTTCAGGGTAGGAAGGGGTAAGGTACAGGGGCCTGATTGATGGTTACTTTGACTATGTGCAAAATAGATTTTAAAAAAACGATCTTGCGATACATGTAGCTTTTAGCAGGGGGTAATTGGTATTTTTTATATTCTGAACTTGTCAGAATACAAGTTCAATGAACTCTAGTCACATGTCAGATCAAGCGATAAAACTCCTTAAAATTATACATATGTAATGCAACATTACACATGCAATGTTAGCATAACAAATTATATGGATTTCAAAAAAGGGCATCTACCATATGATCCCTCCCTCTCCTCCATACAGCCGCCCCCCCCCCCCCCCCCCATCATAATCATTTCAATTTTAGACCCACCTCCCCCTCCCAACCCCTCATAACTCATCAAAAAATTCTCGATCTAAGACCCTCAAAGAATGATGTCTCGTCCCATGCCTTTAAATTCCAAACTGGTGTCTATTGTGAAACTCTTATTCTTTCATATATGAGAGAATCTGAGAGATCCGAATAGGCTGAAGTCAGTAGATGCTTTTCTGTATTTATATATAACATATAGCAGAAGCTCCTGAAGACTAAACATAGTGCTGAAAGTTGGAGGTCACACATGTGAACAGTTCTATGCGTACACCTTAACTACCAAAAATAACTACTTGTGAGTTATGTGGGAAAATACTAGCTGTATATGTTGTTTAAGAATGGACATCTCCAGTAGGCCGGAACCCATTAAGGATATACATTCATGTAGTGTATAATGTATTTTATTTTGAGATGCCATGTATAAAGCTACCCTTTGTAAACAG